AAAAAATAATTTTTTTCCTTTTGGGGAAATTTCAAATAATGCTTAAAAACTGGAAATATCCCGGAAAATTAGTTTAGTCTTATTATATTATTTTTTTAAACTCGTTTTACGATATTTTCGCGATAGTTTAGCATAAGCAAGGCGTCCTATGTATAAAATCAGTTGACTTTCTTTGTGAAAGAAGGCATAATGGAATAAAGAATAAAATAAAATACAATGGGGTAAAAGTTTGAAATTTCAAATCCGCGTAACTCCTTTTAATATTTAGTTATAATTTTCAAACTCGGGCTTAAAGTTGACCTCTATGAGCTGAACCAAAGAATTAAAGGAAATTTTTTATTGATAATTTAGGGGCTCCGCAGTGGCCCCTTAAATTTTTTGTTCAGCTAACCGTGAGAGGGTACTTGAAGCTGAGCAGTTTCTCGATACCCGTGTAAGCGTGGTCCAACGGCTAAGACCATGTGCTAGTGACTTACGCATGTAGCGAGGGGGTAAGGGTTCGAAACCAGGTTGTAATCGATTTTTAAAAATTTTTCTTTTTTGTTTATTTTACTTCATATTATTTATTTAATGTGTTTTTCGATAAATTAAAGGATCCTGTGTAGAAAAAATAATTTCTTTTTTGTTAGGGAGATTTTATATAATACTTAAAAAGTGGAAAAATCCCGGAAAATTAGTTTATTTATATTATAATATTTTTTTAAACTCGTTTTACGATATTTTCACGATAGTTTAGCAAACGAAAGGTGTTCTATGTATAAACTCAATCGTCTTTCTTTGTGAAAGAACGCATAATGGAGTAAAAAATGAAATAAAATAAAATGGCGGGAAAAAGTTTGAAATTTCAAAACTGTTTAACTCCCTTTAATATTAAGCTGTAATTTTCAAATTCGGGCCGAAAATTGGCCTCTATGAGCTGAACCAAACTATCAAAGGAAATTTTTTATAGATAAATTAGAGGTTCCGCAGTGGGCCCTTGAATCTTTTGTTCAACTAGCCGGGACAGGGTACTTGAAGCTATGCAGCAGCTCGATCCCAGTGTAAACATGGTCCAACGGCTAAGACAATGTGCTTGTGAATTACGCTTGGAGAGAGGGGAATGGTTCGAACCCGGCTGTGGTCGTTTTTAAAAGTTTTTTTTTTCTTCATTCTTTATTTTACATTATATTATTTATTTAATGTGTTTTTCGATAAATTAAAGGATCCTACGTATAAAAAATAATTTCTTTTTTGTTAAGAAAATTTCAAATAATACTTAAAAAAATGGAAAAATCCCGGAAAATTAGTTTATTTAAAATATATTATTTTTTTATACTCGTTTTACTATATTTTCACGATAGTTTAGCATATGAAAGGTTTTCTATAAATAAAATCAATTTTCTTTCTTTGTGAAAGAAGGCATAATGGAATAAAAAATAAAATAAAATAAAATGGCGGGAAACAGTTTGAAATTTCAAGACCGACTAACTCCCTTTAATATTAAGTTATAATTTAAAAACTCGGACCGAAGGTGGGCCTCTACAAGTCAAAACAATCCTCCAAAGTATATTTTTATAGATCAATTAGGGGGGTCGTTATGGCTCCTTAAATCTTTTGTTCAACTAGCCGGGACAGGGTAATTGAAGCTATGCAGTAGCACGATCAAGTCCGTTGACAGGATATTTTTTCGGGGGAGGGGGGATATGGTAAGAAGCAAGGACAGTTTCAGACATGCAAAGTAGGGGAAAAACATTGTAACAAATATTGTTTATTCTGTTGTTTGCAAAAGTTAAACTAGTAATTGAAAAATATTACATAATAATTATTTTTCAATTAATATTACATAATAATTATAATCAATTTGTAAACAAAGTTTACAAAGACATGCGACGGGGATTTGAAGAAATTTTTTCGATTACTTTCTTGGGACAAACCAGAATATTCCAAAATATGCTTAATAAAGTTAGTTAATAAAAGGTTTGATTCGACAGTTTTTGTTTTTCTTTTTACTGAGAGGCTCAAGAAAAGACGAAAAAGTTTGAATCCCAGAATTTCGGGGGGTTATAACGATATGTGGCAAAATTATGACAAAGAGTAATAGTTTTTTTTTAATGAAAGAAAAAATGAGAAAAAGTCAAAGCATTTTTGCTAATTAAAAAAAAAAAATTCTTTTTAATGGTTTGTCATGGCAATGAATTTTAATTGCTACGGATTTCTAAGCTGATGTTCATAGCTTTTTT